GTTTCCTACTTAATATAAATATCTTTTAAAATGGATTATAGAAGTCATTCTATTCTACAATTCAATTGCCGCGGTCTAAAATCAAATAATATTGACCTACTTCTACTTTTATCGAAATTCTCTCCTAATTTGTTATGTCTTCGGGACAATATGTTGTCTCCTTAAGTATATATCTCAATAAAAGGTTAATCACTTTATAACTATATATGATGTTCGTGAAGTTGGCAGCCTAGCAGCCTAAAGAAAACTAACAATAGTAGAAACATGAAATCGTCGGAAATACATTAGGATCATTCCACGCCTTTTTCAATATTGTGATCTTTATTTTTTTTAAGGTGTTGAACTTTGGGCTTTCTTTAGGGATTCTGTATTTATCTAGTTTATCTTAACATATTTTTTTTATTCTGACGCTTCGAAATTTGTGAAGTTAGCAGCCTAGCAGGAAAGTACAAACACGAAAACCGTCGGAAATGAATCGGTAGCAAATACTTAGACAATTCCACGTCTTATTTCAGTATCGCGAACTTTATTTTTTTTAAATAATTAACTTTTTTTTTATTTTGACACCTCGAAATTTGTGAAGTTAGCAGCCTGGCAGCCTAGCAGCCTAAAGAAAACTAAGGATAATACAAACATGAAAACCGTCGGATATGAATCGGAAGCACATACTTAGACCATTCCACGTCTTATTTCAGTATCGCGATCTTTATTTTTTTAAATATTGAACTTTAATTTTTCTTTTAAGCTTCGAAATTTGTGAAGTTAGTCGCTTAGCAGCCTGGCAGCCTAAAGAAAACTAAGGATAATTCAAACATGTAATCCGTCGGAAATGAGTCGGTAGCACATACTTAGACTATTCCACGCCTTTTTTCAGTATCGCGAACTTTATTTTTTTTAATATTTAACTTTGTTGTTTTTTTTTGACACTTCGAAATTTGTGAAGTTGGCAGCCTAGCAGCCTAAAAAAAACTAAGGATACTACAAACATGAAAACCGTCGGATATGAATCGGAAGCACATACTTAGACCATTCCACGGCTTATTTCAGTATCGCGATCTTTATTTTTTTAAATATTGAACTTTAATTTTTTTTTTGACGCTTTGAAATTTGTGAAGTTAGTCGCTTAGCAGCCTGGCAGCCTAAAGAAAACTAAGGATAATTCAAACATGTAAACCGTCGGAAATGAGTCGGTAGCACATACTTAGACTATTCCACGCCTTTTTTCAGTATCGCGAACTTTATTTTTTTAAATATTGAACTTTGTTGTTTTTTTTTTAATAAATAACGAGAAAGAACTAAAACTTAATACAAGATTACAAGCTATAGCTGTGCAGGTGACCTTACATCGACAATTTGATCTCTATACCTTCCTCCAAATATAACGGTAACAAGTGATAAAATTGAGAGTATTGTTCGACAATTACCATCATATTTCTTTCTCTTAGGGGACTTTAGGGAAACATTTACTAGGCTCTGTTCTATTGATCTAACAAAAAATGAAATTAATTTCACTTCTGCTGATAAAGCTGAAACGTTCTCTTCAACATTACATACGATTGCCTGCAAAGTGATTCCATTTACAGAAAATAACAAGAGCCGGTTGAACCGGGTGATGCTCCCCGAATAGGTTTTGGACAAAGGAAGGTATACCTCTTGTAGTGTCAGAGTTATGTCACAGACAAAGTTGAGATATGTCACAGACAAAGTTCAAAGTGAAAAAAAAATGTTACGCGCGACACGTTGTCTCAATATGGTGATCATTTCTGTGAAATAGTTGTGAAATCCGACTTCAAATAACGAAGTTATGGGCCGGACACGATTTTGCTGCAAGGTCATGCTGTGACCTTGCATTCAAGGAAGCAACCAAAATGCTGCGCGCGACACGTCGTCTCAATATGGTGATCACTTCTGTGAAATAGTTGTAAAATTCGACTTCAAAGTTATTTGCCGGACACGATTTTGCTGAAAAGTAATGATGTGACCACCCTGACCTTTAAGGTAGCGACCAAGTTGTTGCGCGGGACACGTCGTCTCAATATGATGATTATTTCTGTGAAATAGTTCAAATAAAAAAGTTATGGACCGGACTCGATTTTGCTGCAAGGTCATGCTGTGACCTTGACCTTCAAGGTAGCGACCCAAATGTCGCGCCTTACACGTCGTCTCAATATGGTGATCATTTCTGTGAAATAGTTGTAAAATCTGACTTCAAATAAAAAAGTATTGGGCGGGACACGATTTTGCTGCAAGGTCATGCTGTGACCTTGACCTTCAAGGTAGCGACCGTAATGTTGCGCGCGACATGTCTCAATATGGTGATCATTTCTGTGAAATAGTTGTAAAATTCGACTTCAAATTTAGTATATTTGATAAAAAATAATATATAATAATTATACCACATATAAAACATGTGAAAACTAGATGCCTAAAAGCTTTAAATTTACTTAAGGTTTTATCAAGTACAAATTGGGAATCGAATTCTTCCACATTACTGAAATTATACAAAAGCCTTATTCGATCAAAATTAGATTATTGTTCTGTAGTATATGGGTCTGCAAGAAAATCATATCTTCAAATGCTGGATACCATACATCACCAGGGTTTACGTTTAGCTTAAGGTGCTTTTCGCACCTCACCTTTAGGTGCTTTTCGCACCTCACCTGTAGAAAGGTTTTTATGCGGAAGATGGAGAACCGTTGCTGCATCTTCGTCGAAAACTGCTTTCACTTCAATATGCAACTAGAATTTCATCTAATAGCAAAAATCCAGCTAAAATATTATTTTCACCGAAAAATTTGTTGACAAACCAAAGGATATTAAACCATTAGGCCTTCGTTTTAAAGATGATTTAGATAAACTTAAAATTAATCAAGACAGTATCCTTCAAAATGACGATGAGGATGTTCCACCTTGGACTAATAATTCCCCGAAAATAAATAACCTTTCAAATATAAAAAAAAGTCATTAAATTCAGCTGAACATTTCAAAGAGAAGTTTCTAGCAATTAAGGAAGAACGTGAAGATTTTATACATATTTATTTTACATACAAATATATCAAAACAAAACAGTGGAAGTTTTGATATATTTGTATGTAAAATAAATGCTGCTGAAGAAGGCCTAAAGCTACGGCAAATTTAAATTAGCGTTTTTGCTAATACGGCATGATTTTACTTATATTAAATGCAACTTTTTCTTCTTTTTTTCTTCTGTAATACACATGCGGATATATATAGAAAGAATTCATACTTTGACAGAACTAACGAATTCATACTTTGACAGAACTAATTTGACAAGACTGACAGATTAAACTTATAAAAAGGAAACGTTAAGATTTGTTCAAACATTAACCTTGTTTGCTTTAGAAAAAGTAAAAAGTCGAGCGTTGGCCCCGCCCGGTGGTGGCTCTTGTGTTTAAATGTTGAATTCTGCTTAGTTTAAACTCCCCAGTGGTACTTAGGCTGCTGACCGTACCAAGGCGGCGCCCCTCTGTGTTCCTCAGATGTATGTCTGTTGTTTCATACTTTTTTGTAACGCTTTTGTTTGTGTCCCTTGTGTATTGTTTTCTCGTCTACGGTAAGTATCTTCCCCTTTGCCCCTAGTTTTATTTCTTTAATTTACCCCCTTCCCCCGAGTATCCTGTGCCCTTTGACTTTGTGGGCCTATTTTTCAATCATTTATATGTTTTCATCATTCCTTATCGGTTACTAATTATTTCTTCTTATGTATCATTTAAGTGATTAGACTGCTCTGCCTTGTGCCCAGTCCTGATTTTGTTTGGGGTCCTACTGGGCTCCTTGCCACTGGTTCTTGTTGGATAATGTGGGGGTTGCGTTCACGCCGCCTTTTCTTGTTTATCTTATCTTATTATTAGAGCGAAATTTGTCAAAGTTCTTTTTCTCAAGGAACGAAAGCCAAAGGATCGTAGAAATATCATCTCTTTTGCTTAACTATACCTAGAGGCTCAGAGCGGTACATAAAAAAGGTGCCACTATTTCACATAAATCACTAATATGCTTAAATCAAGTTAATCTATCGAAACCAGTACAGCACTATCACAGAGAAAACAGAAAAGTTACATGCTTCATGTGTAATATAGAGGGTCATGTGGCCAGAGATTGTCGAGATCAGACTAAGATAAGATATGGGGCTGCTGCAATGGCATATGGCGAGCAAAATAGAAATTACTATAAAACAAATAGGGATTTTTTCACCAAGGAACCGGCGTAGTAGACATGGAGAAAAAAGACGTGATAGTAGATCAGATGATAAGAGAGTAGTATCGGGGTTATGTATGTCAATTTTCTCCGACAAGTTCTTATGATGGTTGTATTGAAGAGGGGAAATTTGAATTAGCCAACGGTAATTATGTGCATGTCATTACAAGTAGCTATACAAGTGAATAATTAGAAGGTGAACGTCAATTGGATCTGAAACAAGGGATATGTTGGTAATTCAGAGATGAAATTTCTAAGATACACTGCCTGCGAGTTAGCAGTAGTTAGAAAGAAGTTGGTGGAAGAAGATCAAATGCTGAATTTAAATTGTGTCATGATAGCAATATATGGTCGGGCCAGGTTGGTACGCATGACATTAAAATTTATGGGTGAAATAGAAGCTATGGTTTTAGAGTGATTTATCCCTCATGTAAAGACTCAATCTAACCGAGTCTGTTCTGTTTCAAGTAATTTTGTTGTGATTAATGCTTCCGATGGATCACATTGATCCAGATTTTTGTCAAGTGCTGTGAGGCAGCTGTAAAAAGTTGCCCTGTACTTCACTTCAGTGGTGTGAACTTTCTTAAAACTAGTGAATGTAAATACTCCATACTTATCCTCGTAAACTACACGGGCAGATCCAAAGTGAAATGAGTGCTTTAATGTATTCAAACTTAACAGGTCAATAAAGTCAGACTATACTCGGTATAGTAAGGCCAATATGACAGTTAAACAAAGAAAATTCAATAAATGTGCAAAGTGTACAAAGTATATAACAACAAAGATTTGGACAATTATACAATTTATATATTTTTACATAGAGCATTGTACAGGTTTTTTCCAATCAAGTAAAAACGAAAACGAGCTGAATCAAATTAAAAACATAATTATGGCAATGCAATAATGAGCATATGAAGAGTTCCACGTGTTTAAACTCAAAGACGAAATTCAATCAAAATAGATTAACACTTCCGTCGTTTCTTGCATTCACATCGTCTCCGCTTCGAAATTTCTTTTATAGACATAAATCATACAAAGTTTTGTTTTTTAGTGAGGTTACAAATGTTTCTAGAAGATTCTAGACGCCAGTAAAAGAATCAGACTTGCAACAATACTGCCTTTGAGGCTGACTCCTGCAATACATTGAAAATAAAATCATGTTATTATACACAACTGTGAAATATAGTGTATGTATATATAGTCTTACCCTAAATAATCCTTTATCTAGATCATAATAATTTCATATATTTTATCATTCATAAAAGCATACCGCTTATTTGTGATAGTTTACAGTCTATAAGCGTACTGCTAAATAATTCAGTTTAAAGAGAGCAATATAGACAAGAAGATTTAAGGTGGCCGCTCGGTTAACGTTTCTACATTAAAGATTAACACAGTAATTTGTGGTTATGGTATCTGGTCTTCGCCTTCGGGTCATCCTTTCAGACTGCATGTTTACCTACGCTGGAAGCGTTGATTTATTTCAAATTATATATCTATTCTGTCCTCATGGTAGCGGTTTTGTGTCATCCGAGTTTTCGCACCGCGACCCCGCCAATCGAAAAGTCGAGAATAAACAAGTTAATATGGCGGGGGCGCGGAGTAAAAACACGCTAATTAGCGGGGCTCGGGGTGAAGTAGAATAAATAAAACTTCAACCCGCTTATTAGCGTGTTTTCACCCCGCGACCTCGCCAAGCGAAACTAAAAAATTAGCGAGTTACAATAGCAGGGGCGGAGCGACAACACGTTCATTAGCGGAAGCACGGGCGAAGTTAATTAAATAACACGTCGCCCCGCGGGGTGGTGGGTTTAGAAAATAAAACGGCGGGGGCCCGGAGCGAAACACGCTTTTTAGCGGGGGCGCAGGGCGAAGTTTAATAAATAAAACTTCACCCCGTGCCCCCGCTAATTAGCGTGTTTTCGCCCCGAGACCCCGCCAAGCGAAAAGTCGAGAATTAACAAGTAAAAATGGCGGGAATAGGAGCGACAGGGGCGGAGCAAAAACACGCTTATTAGCGCACACGCCACCGCCATTTTATTTCTTAAATCTCGCTCTGCGACCCCCGGGTGAAGTTTGATTTTTTAAACTTCGTCACGTGCCTCCGCTCATTAGCGTGTTTTTGCTCCGCGCCCCCGTCATTTTAACTTGTGAATTCTCGACTTTTCGCTTGGCGGGGTCGCGTGACGAAAACACGAATGGCACAAATCAGCCACCATATGTCCTTGGAAAACAATGCATATTAACCAAATATTTATAGGTAGTGTGTATACATAATGGTATGTGACACACTTACTATTATTTAAGAACAGAACAGACATTTTAATTTTTTGAGACTTGTACATACATGCAAATATATATTACAATATATGATGTCACATGGTTATGATTACACATGAAAAATTTAGTGATTGCACAATAATACAAACTAAGTAGAACTAAGCAGGAATTGTATTTGATATTTGTGCATGATACAATAAACACATATGCAATCATATTTAATTTATTCTTTGCATAGGTCGTGAAAACAATTTTACAAACAAAAGATAAAAATAATATAGAATTCGACATCTGAAGAACATTTCTGTTTGAAATCATATGATTTAATATCAATTAAGATAAGATGAACATGTAAAACAGTATACACAGGATGAACAATGAAAACTTATCAGTGAAAGTCTTACGTATGTAGCGGCTTTTTTCATACTTTGCTAGATTTGTTATTACCGTGTAATTTTTATTTGTTAGCAGCTGCATCATTTTAATTACCCTAGGTCTTTGAAAAAAATATATTTTAATGTATTTCTTCCTCATATCTTCATAACATGGGCCTTATAAATAAAAAGTGAAAATCATCTTCCAAGTCTAACAAATTGCATCTTTCATTTCTAGGTATTCTATTATTTGAATAACGACCGATCATCCTAAGTAAGTGTGCTGATAAACGTAGTTTTGATTGTATAATAACTTCTTAGATTAAAATGTAAAATATCCAAATATGTTAAGTACGAACACTGAACAATTATTTACTGATGCGTTCCAATCTTGTTTATGACAATCAATTTTTCTTATCTCAGAAATATTTGGGAAATTTTTCAAATCCATTACGTACCTGTACTGTACCCTGTAGCATATCTCTCACAAATGTACGGGATCCGTCTCGAGCAGTTACGTTCGTGAAAATTTCCGCCGTAAATAACCATGCCACAGTTATCACCTGGTTTTGTACTGGGTTCACCTCCCCAGTCACTACAAAAAATGAAAAGCAAGTATGTAGTCATTCTGTGGTAATAAAGTGTTATTTTATTCATTTGCAAGTACATAATTGTAAGCAATTAAACAACTATCTCAAAATGCTTGAAATAAAGTCATTTTATGTACGTATTTTTATCACAAATAAAAAGATTTATTCAGTAAATAAAGCCACGGGCCCAAAATACTTCTAATACAAAATGTGATATTTAACATTATAAGGTTGTGTTGTTAACAATTTTTGACAAATTCTCAATTTAATTTAATTACTACTGTGCTATAGAGATCATGAGGTAGAGATTTTCTTAATTATAAAATTATCATTTGATGAAAGTAATTCATAAAAGTTATGTAAATCAGTTCCGGAATTATACCAGTTTAGTAAATAGGTATTTCTAAATATTTGTTACAATGAAAAAAATAAAAACAACAAAAATTTTCACAGTCAATGTGATAAGTTAAATGATTTTCATGAAAAAAATTCCAAAAGCGTTCTTGAAAAGGTATATCTAAATGCCTACCCATTTCAACATTAAGTTTGTGATTTGAACATCGAAATTTAGCATATGCTTTCTTATGTTTTACAGTAATTTCTATTAGAAGAAAGCGTTCTACATTAAATAAGCTTTTAAAATAACAATACGGGTGACATATACTGGAATTGTTAATATTATCATGCCAATTTTGCGTATTACAATCTTTTATGCGTTGTTTAAAACTGTTAACCAAAATATTCATATCTATTTCTTGAGAAATCCGGTTGTAATTAAATCCATTACTGTACAGAAGTAGCCCAACAAGTTCTACCAGCTTCATCTAGTGATTTTAACATTAAATAACATTGTTTTGGGTAACGACATGGTGGCATAACTAATAGTTTACACCAATATCGGATGTAATTTGCATAATAAGTAATACAAAGTTGGAGTCTACCACATTCACCTAACGCCATGCTTGTATTTGTATTTTTTCAAACATTTAATAAACCCTTACAGAACATATTATGAACAGATTTTATAGTTGGACTAAATTAATCCCCCAAATATGTGATCCATAATAAATAAAAAAATGTTCCTTTATGGGAAAATTACCAAATGGTTTTTTCATAACATTTGATGGTAAAAATTGCTCTTTGGGCTTGTGAAGCTCATTTATCATGAGCTACATTCCATGATAGTTGTAGAGTAAATAACAAACTCATATATTTATAAACAGCAGTTGTGTTTACCAGTTGATTTTGAAAAGACCAAGATTCATAATAACGAAAACTACCTCCATTTCGAAATACAATTGTCTCTGTATTGTCAAATTTAATTTCCATGCCTGTCTTCAAGCAAATTGATCAACTGCATTAAGTTGTTGTTGTAACACGTTTTAGAAAGCTATTTTTGAACCATTGCTTGTAAACAAAAAACATCGATAACAGATTAACCACGCCTAAATCCTGCCTGAGATTCATCTATATTTCTTTGATTTTTGGCCCAATCGTGTAGTCTTTTATCTATAACACATGCAAAGACTTTATATACTGTATTTGTAATAGATATGCCGCGATAATTACTCGGTCCTGATTTATGAATTGGTGTAATCATACTATTTCTCATTGCCCTGATCCGAGTATTTTGTAAAATAGTGTTAGCAGAATAGGGGCTGTCGGACCGCATATGTCACGGACCGAATATAGCACACGTGTGACATATTCGGTTCCAATTTGTCACACGTGTGACTTATTCGGTCGAATATGACACAATCTTCAGCCGAAAATGGAACATAAAATGTGCCATATTCGGTTGGACTGAGTTTTTCTATGATCACCAACCAAAAATGCGCGAAAAAATGAAAATACGAACGTATACGTAACACGTGGACTTTTTTTTTACTTAAATAAGTCCGTTTTGCACAATACCGTTCATTAAAAGAAAACCTAATGACGGATCGTAAATACCGCAAACGCCATTTTCATTACCATCAGCAGCACCATTATCGTCATCATTATCATCATCACAAGTGTATGATAAACAAATATTTCACCGAATTTTTTAAAAGTGTATAATAAACAAATATTTCATCGATGTTTATTGTAAACGATTGCGAATTTATATTAATCACTTTAGAGTCCGCCTCCTTGAACTAACCAGTATTGGTATCAAATGACGTAACATAGTCGTGACCCGAGTTGGGATCGAACCCACATTACTTGGATTGAGAGGAAAACATCTTAGTCATTAGGTCACCATTACCCCTTTTTATTGTATCATCCATACTTTGTGATTCATCAGGAAAAAACACATCTTGTTAGAGCTTTAATGGCACATATAAAACCATGCAAAAAGCAAACGTAGAATGCATGTTTAAGTCTGGCAAACAGTTTGTTTGAAACAACTTCAACGCGTTCAGTCGTCATTTCGAAAATGACCTTAATGGCTTGTTCCATCATAACCGCCGTATGAACACATCTGCGAATGTTTCTAAATTCAAAATTTCACCATTTTCGTGTTTAAATGTTGAATTCTGCTTAAGCCGGTGCTAGGGGGCTTGGGCGGTAACTTGCATTTTCCAGTACCGTCCATGAAGAAGCCTGCAACAATTTCAATTTTGCCGTATTAGGCTTTCTTTAGGGATTCGGTTTTTTCTCTATTTTAGGTATAACATAACATTTAAGGAGCAAGTTATAATTGTGGAGTGAACAAACCGCCATTCATACTATCTCCTCTCGTGCGCACCACTACAAATATACATCTGGTTTACAGCGTGAAGAAAATAATTTATGAAAATGTTCAAAAATAGTTTTTTTCCTGATTAAAAAAGTTTTGATTTTGCTTATATCTAAGTCACGGTGTAAACTAATTAATTTTATGTAGTAGTATAACGTCATTTGTAAAGTACATGTCAAAATCACACTTTGTGCGCGTAAGATAAACTTACAAGTTTCATGACCATGTCCCTAGTTCAAATACTGTTGATGCTACACGCGACACAAGTTGACAATAACTCTAGCATGACTGCCCGAATTGACAAGCGAAACCCCAGGTGCACAATAACATAATGCTGGAAAACGTTCTTGTTAAATTTCATGACACTAAACCAAGTATTTATGGAGCAACACTAAAGATTCCGGGAAGGACAGACGCATCTACTCAGACACAGGCTCACGGATCAGTAAGACTACAGATTTACAATGATAATGATGATGTATCATTGGTGATGATAATTATGTTGTTGTTGATGATGATGATGATGTATTATTAACGTAGATGAAGGTAGGTTAAAACGGCGATGATAATGTAAAATGTGTGACATATACGGTCAGGCATTTACTACGAAATTGCCATGATTAATTCAACCGAATATGTCCCGCATGTGTGACATATACGTTCCATGACAATTACGGTCCGACAAGGCACTATTTCATCTGATGTATGTTTTTAAAATTCGGAAGGTATGCCATCTGGGCCACAACTTTTATTATTAACTAATTTAGATATGGAATATTTACTTTCTAGCAAAGTTAATGTCTGAGCTGTTTCATCGGCGAAATCATGTTCGTTTTCAACGTAAGGATCAACAAACACTGAATTTTCGTCATACAACAAATCTCGAAAATAATTGAACCATTCTGTACAAGAAATACTAGGATCAGACATACTAACAGTTTTGCGTTTCTTCAGTAATTTCCAAAAGGAACTTGGGCTGTTACTGTTTGATACTAGTACGAATCTATTAGATTTCTGATATTTAGATATTCGTACAGTGCAATAGTCTTTAAACTTGTTTCGTTTATCAGTCAGTCAGTCAGTCAGACAGACGAGGAATTACTTAATCTAAATGTGCGTAGCGCCGCGTTTTTTTTTTTTTTTTTTTTTTTTTTTTTTTTTTTTTACTTTAACTCATTACATGTGTTGTCTCACCACAGAGGTTGAGACGAATGAAAACAAAATTTTTTAGGCATGCATTTTCTAGCATCTTTTTAATTAGAAGTAATACAGTCGACCATAGAATTGACACAGTTATCAATTGATTCTATTATTATCGCGTAATGATTATGAAACAATTCCCCAAATCTTTGCAAGAAATCTGTACTAGTCTTGCAGAAATACGCCATTTGTATCTATCTAAAGTGTTCAATGATATTTGAGCAGTTTGGCTATCTGCGTTATTAGACTTTTTATGAGACACAAAAATACAATATATAGGAAAATGATCAGATTCATCTCTAGCAAGAACCTCAAAATCTTTAATGTATGAAAATGGAGAAAAAGATGCTATCATAAAATCAACAACACTTGAATCATCATTTGAGACGCAAGTAAATTCACCGTCTTTATCGCTTGGAAAACGACCATTAAGTATATGAATATCAAAAAGACAGCATAAGTTTACTAAACATTTAATGTAATTATTACCACGTATATTAACCTTACCATGACCTACAACATCAAATGTACTACCATTATAGTCAGTATTCCCAAAAATAAAATTTAAATTGTCACATGAAATAAGGTGTAAAAAATAATTACATCGACTATTAAGGTCACCTGACAAAAATAACACGGTGTCCGGGTATTCAAAAGTATTTTTTCAAAATGGCTAAACATTTCATTGATACCGTTTTTATCGTCACTATCATTATAATAAGAACTTCCCTCAAGACTTATATATATGAAATACATGATAATGTCATTACAATCAAATATTTCTGAAAAATTACAGTATAATACAACACAGTTCTCAAAATGTTCAACGAATTGCCTTATTCGCATAAGTTTATGAACAGTACTTTTCACGGAAACACTAATTCCACCATTGATCCTCAATGCATTATCTTTCATTTTCCTTACACAATCAAAATATACATATGAATTTTCATAATTATTGCATTTACTCCATGTTTCATATGTCCTTAAAATACCAAAAGTATTCACAAACTAAAGAAAATCATCATCGTTTTAAAATTTATTTAATCCACCTTTTATTTCTATTTGTTTATTTTGATGAAAAATATTTGGATCTATTCACTAGACGTTACAATGCAATGTAGCAATTGAGAAGCTCCGCGCAAAAGAATGCGCTCATTACAGATACCTTACCAATTCATTCCTGCGCACAAGTCATTTTCTATTTAGATTAAGTACTAGTGTACATTATCAAAGGGCATCCAAGTAAGAAATGCAGCAAGTGACGATGACCTAGTAGGCATCTGATGACCAAGTATTCTTATATAACTTTTCAATGGTTAATTGGATTTTACAAGAATTGTACATGTATATCATAGATAAATGGGCGGACGAAAGACATTGTTCATCATGAACTTTGGTAGGCTTGCTAGAGATAAGAATATTAAATGTATTTTCTTTGGAACATACAAAACAGTAGTCAAAGTTAACAAAGTCTGTTTTTATTTTTATATTCTGTTTGTATATTTGTTACAATCATAAGATTGTAACAAATATACAAACAGAATATAAAAATAGCAATAAAAGGGACTAATATAATATTACATGCATTTTTTCATGTCAAATTAAGTAAACTGGTTTCTTTTAATACATGGGAGTTAAGATGCAATAGCAATATTCTAAGTCCCAGATGAATACTGGAAGAAGAACACACACTGGAATGAAAAATTGTGATGAATATTAAAAAGACCAAATTCAAGATTTTTTTGTTATACGCGTTGACAACATTAAATATCATGAATAAATTTGTATGGCATGTTGATACAGTGAAACATTATTTATCAATTGAAGACTGTTACTTGAATTTCAGACAGATATGAGGAAATTCACTAACATCATGTTCATGCGAGTCAAAGATATAAAAGCTTTATGATGAGTGAAATTTATGGTTGAATATGTTTGCATTTCATTTCCTGCAAAACTCTCCAGTTCGTCATATATTACCATAACGCGGAACAAATGACCGTAAATAGATTTTCGGCATTTCAAAATGTGAAGGTCATATCTATTTATAGCTTTCATGTACACATAACCCACTGTGTACTAACAAATAACAAGTATTTTCCTGTAGAAGATACAAATGTAAGAAATATATTACCAAATTTAAAGTTTAGTTTTTTATTTTGTCTTTTATACTGTTTTTATATATGATTAATAATATCTGTCATATTTTGCGGTTCGGATCGGAATATCCGTCCCGAGGTGACCCGCCCATTGGGCGGTAACGAGGCTTGCCGAGTTACCGCCCATGGGCGGGTGACCGAGGGACGGATATAACGATCCGAACCGCAAACATATGTCAGATATTTTTTCTTGCATATTCTACCATATTCCATTATATTTTAAATTCTTTATCTTTATTTTCAATGAAAATTTATATCATTACAACCGTAACTACTTTCATTCAACAGCGTATGAATTACAAAATCATTCATAACGGTAAAATGACGTAATCTTTATCGTACCATTGTACAGCACGCGACTCATCTGGAACCCCCCATGCCAGATGAAATTTCCGGCATGGGTAAAACTAACGGAAACGCCAGTCTGATAAACAAGAAAATTTGTTCCCGTTCTCATCCATTAATATGCCATAATGCGAATCACCTATCTGACTAAATCGAAAGGACTTCTTACATCCGAATTTATTTTTAGCTGTAAATCGATAAAAATCGGGTCGTAGCAATGAAGTGAGGTATGTCGTCAAGGCTATCTGTGCGGTTCCCGATTGACTGACTTCCATCATGTGACACTCCGTTGTCATCGCAATAATTCCCGCGCTTTCTATCGACCGTTGAGTAGGGTTAAGTTGATAATTCCCACGACCACGTGGTGCTTCTGTGTTAAGCCTTGACCGATTTCCTATGTAAACAATATGTTCACATTGGTAAACAATTTATCAAATCGAACTGATGCATAGTGACCTCTTTTACGCTTTTCAATCATACGTTCATATGTCTTGTCACTGTGTCGAACAGAAAATCCAGAATTTAGGTCAGATTTACTATTACTGGCACGGTTTAAAAATGCCTGACAGCCCTTGAAGCGCATAAAACGTGCTATTATCGTACATGTACTAGAGTTATTTGATTTAATCCTGTGTACATGGTCTATATCAATTTGGTCAGCTTCTTCACCAAAATTGAGGGTTGTTCTAAGAAAATCACGCAATTTAGTCTCTGTTTCTGACCAGTGTTCTGGTATGCTCCCTCTTGACCCGTTGAATCTAAGATTATTCATTCTGGAGCTATTTTCGTAATATTCTAGTTATACCTTTATCTTAGGACATTTTGTAAAGAGATATTGTCTTGTTTTAATAGCCCATAGTTTGTTTTTAACTCTCTTAAATGTCCACGGAAACACGGCTATTTTGGCATGTTAGTTCTTAGATATTGAAAAATATCAGTCCCTTCACTCTCGTGAGATAGATTTCCGGGGTCCAATTTCATGTATTTCCCGAAATTTCCGTAGGTCATCAGCAACATCTTCCTGTTAACGAACGGGTATATGCGTCAAAGCAAGGGACCTGGTAAAGGCAATTGACGCTTGTATCATTGGTGTTCGGGACTGAGAGATTGACATTTGACGTGTTACCACACCTCCAGGTGTTTCTGTCCCCGCGGGTCTGTACGAACCTGGTCGTAAAGGACTGTCCGTTCTACCGCCTTGTAAATTACCTCCAGTGTTGTTAAGATCTCGTGTTAAACTAGATTTACACGGTGCGTTTACTTTAGGGGGTCACTTATACACAGGCACATACGCACACATGTTGTTCAGTTTTATCAGTTCTTGAGTTTGACTAACATAACACAATGCTAAAATTGAGCGGACAAGTGAGTTTGGGGTTAAGCAGGGGACTAGATAAAGTTACATACACTAGTTTGGGAATAAGCAGGGGACTAGATAAAGTTACTTACATGAGTTTGGGGTTAAGCAGGGGACTAGATAAAGTTACATACACTAGTTTGGGAATAAGCAGGGGACTAGATAAAGTTACTTACATGAGTTTGGGGTTAAGCAGGGGACTAGATAAAGTTACATACACTAGTTTGGGAATAAGCAGGGGACTAGATAAAGTTACTTACATGAGTTTTGGGTTAAGCAGGGGATTAGTGTTGAAAGCCCAGTAACCTTCATTCTGTTTGTCGTTCAGTGATGTCCACCAACCGTAAACGTTATTGGACATGGCTCCTACTTGAGATATAATGAATGCCTGAAATGGAAATCGTTTTTACATCAAACACACACGCAAATATGTAATTAGACACAGCAAGTTATCTTTATTCATATTTACGATTAATACAATTATGCATACTGTTCATGGTCATTTCTGTAAACTTCGTCACTAATATCTTATTTAAAAGCGTAAAGGTAACAAGATTGTCTGTTGCGACACAAGCTTATTCTACTACACACGGAAATTGACGAAATGTGCCGTAATTTCACGACTTACATTATCCATATCTCAGGATTGTATGTACATCACAAATATATAACAACTCGACTTGTTCTTGAATATAGTTGATTTAATGCTAACCATTAAATTAATTCCATATTACTTATAAACTCATAGTTTTTTAAAACCTTTTAGCGTACTTTTATTTGATATAATATCAGACTACATACACTTAACAAATCTTATAAGTGTGCATGTATAATTGGTATCATATGTGTGTGTCAATTTTATGCGCAATAAATGTGATAATGCGTTATAATCCAATATCGCAAAATGAATGTATCATTGAAAATTATTCTGATATAGTATGCCCTACCTAACTATTGATTACAACCTGGCCGCGTTGTCGCATGGGTGTAATCCAATCTTGGGTAAATTTAATCATTATTTGACAATTTTCGCATATTCGTAAGCGGTGGTGTGTGCCACTGCATCAAAACTTCCTTAGGGGCTCATTTTATCCCCTAAAGCGTCTATCATAATTAAGTCCTGAGAATGTTGATACTGTTTACATGTATATGAGTTTATATATGTTTTGGGCTCTCGCTGTGTACTTGTAAAACTGCAATCATATGTTGTTCAAACCGTATTTTGAAGCTCATGGTATTGGTTAAAATCGGCGAAGAGATTACTTTTAATGAACGCATTGTCTTCAAGACAAGTCTTCCTGAACCTCCCTGTGGAGTGCAACAGACCATCGCCCAGTAACGAGCAAAAACATTTAAGACTAAATCTACCCAAAAATTAAATGTACAACATCAAATAACCATGTTGTAATCGAAAGTCAAAGTAGGCATGCATACGCTGATTTAGAAAAGTTTGTAGTAAACTTTAAAAAAAATGGAAATACTACCATTTATTCCAGTCTGATAGGGTTAAAATTGACTCAAATTATAAGATACTTATGGAAGCGTCCTAGTGCCAAACCTGAAATGTTTTTATGTCATAATTAGTAGATAGTAAGTGCTAATTAGTAGAAAGTAAGTGCTAATTAGTAGAAAGTAAGTGCTAATTAGTAGATAGTAAGTGCTAATTAGTAGATGCTAAGTCATAATTAGTAGACAGTAAATACTAATTAGGAGATAGTAAGTGCTAATTAGTATATACTAAGTCATGATTAGTATATAGTAAGTACTAATTAGTAGATACTAAGTCATAATTAGTAGATAGTAAGTGCTAATTATTAGATAGTAAGTGCTAATTAGTAGATACTAAGTCATAATTAGTAGATAGTAAGTACTAATTAATAGATACTATGTCATAATTAGTATATAGTAAGTACTAATTAGTAGATAATAAGTCATAATTAGTAGATAGTAAGTACTAATTAGAACATAATAAGTCATAATTAGTAGATAGTAAGTACTAATTAATAGCTACTATGTCATAATTAGTATATAGTAAGTACTAATTAGTAGATAATAAGTCATAATTAGTAGATAGTAAGTACTAATTAGAACATAATAAGTCATAATTAGTAGATAGTAAGTACTAATTAGTACATACTAAGTTATAATATTGTAATCGCTGCTTGCATTCTGTTAACATGGCTGATGCAAGCAGCGATTACAATATTATAACTTAGTATGTACTAATTAGTACTTACTATCTACTAATTATGACTTATTATGTTCTAATTAGTACTTACTATCTACTAATTATGACTTATTATCTACTAATTAGTACTTACTATATACTAATTATGACATAGTATCTATTAATTAGTACTTACTATCTACTAATTATGACTTAGTATCTACTAATTAGCACTTACTGTCTAATAATTAGCACTTACTATCTACTAATTATGACTTAGTATCTACTAATTAGTACTTACTATATACTAATTATGACTTAGTATATACTAATTAGCACTTACTATCTCCTAATTAGTATTTACTGTCTACTAATTATGACTTAGCATCTACTAATTAGCACTTACTTTCTACTAATTAGCACTTACTTTCTACTAATTAGCACTTACTTTCTACTAATTAGCACTTACTATCTACTAATTATGACATAAAAACATTTCAGGTTTGGCACTAGGACGCTTCCATAGATATTTATATATGCACACTTATAAAGTTTGTTAAATGTAGACCTATCTGAAATACTTTAGTTTACGCAGTGTTAAGCGTGTTAACGTTTTCCGCCCGAAGAAAACATTCGAAAATGGTCCGGTTTTTGTTTGTTTGTTTGTTTTTATTTATTTTACTTAGTAAAGTTATATTAATGTTTATTCTGTGAAATCTAAAGAATTAAGAACCCTTAATTGTTAAAATTTTATACGCTTCCAGTCTATAGAAAGTTGTTTACAATGCGTGATCACCTTTCATTTATCTGTTACGTCAATCAGTTTGTGTGGTTCGTTCTCCTCGCGTCGTGGGTAGGTCAAACTCGAAAATGACTATTTGAATGGTGAAAAAATGTATTTGGAAAGTTTTTATTTATCATAATTTGTTGTTAAAAAGTTGTAAGTATTGTAATAATCAAATTATTTGGCTAGTTGTTTATTTTGTTTGTTTACATTTTTTGACACCAACAACATCAAACTGCTGGTTTCCGGTATTAAGAACAGGTGCGACTTACATTCGCCTAAAAATGTCTCACACTGAACTATGACTTGAAACATAAGAAAATACTAGATCAACAGCGTGTTTTATCTATTATCTAATGACAGTTTGAAATATTTTGTTTATCTCTTTCTTTTTGCAATTAAACAACAAAATTAAGGGTTATTGGATATTATTGAAAACCTTATATAAAGATTGCTTAATTACAATATTGCTTACATTTGCAATTGCTTTCATGTATAAAATATTTGAAGGCAGAATAGAAGGTCCAGGTGCATGTTGGCATGACTTGGCAAATGTTTAAATTACCATCATTATCCATTTGTGATAAATATATAGCAAAAAGTTTGGGTTTGTCTATTTTACGCGAATTTATAAACAAAACGACCAAAAGCAAAAAGGCGGCAATTGATTGAATGACCTAATTCTCAACTTTATAAATAAGTGGGCGATGAAGCTGCATTTCAGGGAGAGCCCTGAGTCTTAAGTCGGTCCTAATATAAAAATTGAGAAAATTTTGCGTTTCAAAGAAATACTTAAAAAGATCCTGACTTATGACTCCTATATTTATGACCATAAACAGTTCTAAGTCTAGGAGTGTTTAAAAGGTATCGTTAGATAGTCCTAAGTCAAAACCACTCCAAAATCAAACCTGGCAGCCTTCATGGTAGTGTTTCAAAGACGGAGGGCCCTGTGCCGGGGGACAGGTTACAGGCGCTGGACGTTTATACAGACGAGGAGTTGATTAGTCGATACTGTACAAATTTCCAAGGGACTCGATCATGCAAATCACCGAATAAGTGAAAGGGGATATTGAGAATTATTTAATTTTACCCATGAAATATGGTGCTATATCAGTCAAATATATTTCGTATTTGTTAAAAATAAAATAATATGAAATATAAATATGAAAGTGGGCGGAGTCAAAACTCATAATTATTTCAAGGGACTTCTTTCGCATTTTGTTTAAAAAATAAAGATAAATAAAAACAACTTTTTGTTGAATTTTGTTTTGAAAACTGTCTAGAATGATAGAAAATGGTCTAACTAAGAAAATAAATCCGAACACCAATACCTATAATTCAGTCATTACCGCTGTACAGGCGTTTAAAGAGTTGTTTACATGACGTCACAATGTAGCTCGAACGGCGCGTGCAAAAACAGTCAAAACAATATATTACTGCACGCTGTACAATTGTAGTTGCGAAGCAAGCAAGGAGATTTCTTTCTTTACCATTTTTCTTTGATAATGAAATTAAATAAAAAGGTTATTTTTTTCGTTTTTAGTGAAATATGGTATATATTTTTAATCAATATGATAAAATATTTATGTCTGTTATGTCAAGAGGGCAATACATTACTAACTTGCTATAATCAGTTTCATAGTAAATCCAAACCGGGATTATTCGCGTGCCATTGTATTTTGTAACTTTTTTTCAGGAGAGCGAATTGGTCGTAAGTCTGAAAGTCTGAAGTTTACGACAAAAGATAGGACAGTTACTTGAAACGATCTTAAGTGCAATATATATATATTAAAACGTGATAAATGTTCCTTGTGCAGTGTTATATATATATATATATGGCTTTAAATACATATCATAACAATATTTCTTGCGTTTCATAGAGTCCTAAGTTAATCATAAATCCTAGGACTTATGACCAACTTTATGAGAAAAAGTTTTTGCACTTAAGATCGTTTCAAGTAAATGTCCTGACAAGTATATATATATAGCAAATTTACTCTAAAGAAAAAAATATATTCTGTGAAATTATGGAAGTATTACCTTTTCATTCATGTTATCCACGGACAATAGACTACCAACATTCGTTTTACTTGATGCAAATGTTGCACAGAAGGTGGATGCCTCGTTCTGGTTGTAGAGTACAGAAATATTGTTGTATGGTGTAAACAGGTAACAATTACCGCCATTAGACTTCCATCCAGGCTTGCAAGTAGCTGTTCATATAAAGATGTTTTAGCTTGTTTAATGGAATGAAACTTAATCAGCGTTTTAAGCTACAAAAGCATTGAAGAACGTGTAGTCTCACCATATATTGCCGTCAACAGTTTAGTTGACAAGTAAATGAAAAAGGCATTCCGTTAAAAAGGACCTCGATTTCTCGTAGACATATCTAGACATATCGGCATGCAAACAAAACGTTGTTAATGTGTCTTTATGTAGCGTTGTTTACTGTATTTCGACATGAATTATGTTGGCCTGCACATACCATAACATGTTGACGCGTCGATAAAGATAACATAACTGGGTGATCGAAAACTTGGTCCAATGGATGACCCCCCCCCCCCCATCATTTTCCTTAAATTTATTTTTGATATTCAGGTATTTTACATAGACTTATATAGGTAAAACACTAAACATTTGCTTATCTGAAACACCAAGAAATAGAGTTGTTTACCCTTGTTTACCCACCGCCCCACTCCATCATGGATGACCCCCCTCCTCCTGTTTTTTTTTTATTTTTTATTCATTTTTGATATTCAGTAATATGTCGACATCCATGTTATTTCTAGTCGACAAATATAATATGAAAATAGGCAAAGCCTATGCACGGGGAAGTCGTTAAAAAATCCTTTCATTCTTTCCGTTTTAAAGGTGTCATTCGGTATTACATGCACCGCTTCCGTTTTCACTCGGAACACTCGACGTTTATTATTTATCCGAAAAGTTGAGATTTGTTCCGTTATCGGAATACCCCGCCTATTATCATTGAGTTACATTGTAAATGGCGGCGCCCGACTAGAACTGACACTGAAAATTTCAATGATAGGTATAGAATTCTATATATTTTTTAATTGTTTTTTATTTGATTTTCTTTTAAATATACACGTGTAGTCTATAGCCGGGCAAGCCAACGCCCGGACCCGCTTCGCGGGCCCGGTCTTTGTCTTCCCCGTATTAACGTATGAAAGTCGGGATACCGTATCGCGACATGATGACATATATTTTGTCAAAATGACATGGTATATATAAACTTGTCGTCGTAATTTTGACGACTTGATGTGTTCTATAAGTCGAGGGAGATGACTTCATGTCTTCATAGCGGGGGTACATACAAGCTTCCGTAGAAAGTTGATACCTACCTGTGTAGCTCACGGTATCTCGTAAACATATATGACTACTTGATGCATTAGTGTTTCAGTTTTATACCAGAAGTTTTTTACCCGCAATACTATTCTTTATGGCTTGTCGATATAACGGAACTGGTCAAGAGTGGGAAAAAATCGCCTCCTCGCGACATGTTTAGGCTTTGGCAACATATGTTTTTCCGGAATGCCATTATAATGTAAGTAACAATGATATTCTTTATGACATGTCGATATAACAGAAAAAATAACTGTTATAAATGTATCAAGTAGTCATATATTTTCACGAGATACCGTGATAAAGTGGACAAAACTTCATACAATAACACAGATATATAATATGAAATTAGGCAAAGCCTATGAACGGGGAAGTCGGTAAAAAATCCTTTCATTTTTCCGTTTTAAAGGTGTCATTCGGTATTATATGTACCCACTTCCGTTTTCACTCGGAACACTCGACGATTATTATTAATCCAAAAAGTTGAGATTTGTTACGTTTTCGGAATACACCGCCTTTTATCATTGAGTTACATTGTAAATGGCGGCGCCTATTTAGAACTGACACTGAAAATTTCATTGATAGGTATAGAAATCTATACATTTTTTAATTTTTTTTTTTTTTTTTATTTGAATTTTCTTTTAAATATACACGTGTAGTCTATAGCCGGGCAAGCCAAAGCCCGGGCCCGCTTCGCGGGCCCGGACTTTGACTTCCCCGTATAAACTTGTCGTCGTAATTTTGACGACTTGTTGTGTTCTATAAGTCGAGGGAGACGACTTCATGTCTTCATAGCGGGGGTACATACAAGCTTCCGTATAAAACAGATCTTTCTGTATTAACGCGGTATCTACGATGATAATCCTAAGTTAACTTACCTTGGTTGTCAAGTTCACAGATGGCAGCTGCGTGATAACTGCAAGATATGTCGTTATATTGTCCAGTCGTGTAAATCACAGCACAATCCTCGAACCCTTTGTAATCATTGGGCTCCTGGTTCCATTTTCTAGCAATAAAATATCCGTATGTATACAGTTAGAAGAAATGTCGTTAAAGTGCATAAAGCTACATACCTGCTGAAAAAAATAGTTTGAATTAATAAAAAAAGAATATTTAAAAACAAAAAGTATCTTTAAAAAAGAGATACCTACGGTGGCACAAAGGTGACATGTGTGTGTTTTTATTTATCTCGGCGCACGAGATACTATGTCGTGGCCACGAGTTACTAAGTCGTGGCCACAACTTAGCTATCTCGTGGCCACGTATTAGTAACTCGTTGCCACAACATAGTATCTCGTGGCCACGATTTAGCTATCTCGTGGCCACGACTTAGTAACTCGTGGCCACGACATAGTATCTCGTGAGCAGGAGATAAATAAAAACACACACATGTCACCTTTGTGCCACCGTAGATACTCGGCCTAACTTGCATATGTTAGTTCTTAGCTTTCCATTCAAAGTCATAGAATTTCGAAATGTAAGCATAGCTTGCATAACAATGACATGATGACATGATAATTTCGTGCAGGGTTTTTTTTTTTTTTGACAAAATTTAAAACTCAGGTCTGGTGTAAAATAAACTCAGAAAGTTCTTGCGTGAACTAAACTGTAAACTGTTCCCTAGGTAATGTAATGAGATTAAACTAGAAAGTTAAAGAACTATCTTGTATATTTTACTTTAAAACTACCCTTTACATTTCATTTCATAATGACAAGAACTATCTTTTACATTTTATTTTAGAATGGCGAATGAGATTCACAGATTTCATTTTGTAGTTTTAAAATGACCAATTCTTCCCTGTAAATATTACAGGAAATCAAACTGAAAACAGACCGCGTTCGGCCGGAAATATCTGTATGATATGAATTTGTTAGTTTATGTACTAAAAGACGAATAGCGCATGCACAGATCGAATCATCAATAAATGGTAAAAAACCTACTAAAAATATCATCACAATATATTGTTCCTGAACATTTTATTCTTTTTTCATAATTATGAAAACACATAAATTTTACTGTTTACAGATTTTATGAAAATATCTCAAAAGAAGTGACATTTTGCTTTAAAAGACCCAATGGTATGCTGAAGTTAAATACATAAATATTTGATGTTATGCAGTATTTTGTCATTTAATTCTTCCCTTAAATTATTATATTTCGTAAGTATGTTCGAAAAAGTTTGTTAAATTATTAACATTAAAAATATGTCAATTATCAATTACCCAGACCGCTAACATGTTTATTGCAATTTACGGGTCTAAATATATGGTAATGCACGCCATATGTATGACAACATGATTATTATCATTTATATTATCTAAGGCATTTATTTAAAGTTTTCTTATCTGGTTATCTGTTAAACTTTTTTTAAAAAAGGAATTTAGCAAGACGCTGGGGGTTTTTGACATGTAGCGTGTTAATCAGTCTAACTCGAACCATTTTGATTGGTCTAATCAATAATTTCATAATTAATAGAAAGCATTTTCATTGGTTAATAATGTTTTGTTTCAGGTCCGTATTTTTATTGGTTAATTATTACAATGTGTTACTTTGTTAAAATTATTCTTGTGTTAATAAAAAAAAAGACAAAACATTTTAGGGGACTATTCAGACAGCCATACTGTAAACATGTAATGGTTTAATTAAGTTTAAAGCGATGGTATCGCAGTTTTCTGCGGTACATTTAATGTACAATTTATATAATTATATTGTTGTAATTGTATATAAATAAAAAACTATATAAAACAAAAAGATGAACTTTGTATGTTTGTGATAAACAAAAAGATAAATACCAAAAATAAATTAAATTATTGCAAGTTAACAAAATATACAACAAAAATTACGTACAGAAATATTTACTTGTTAAAAAACTATTATGGCAAATAAATCCTCCCAAGCAACACCTCTAAAATCTGCAACACACATGGTGGAGAAAAAAGGCAAGTATCTTGAAAATGGAAACAGATAAATAGAGTGTTTAAGTGCACATAATTTATACACAAGTATGACAAACATTACTTTTACTATTATGTCGAGATGAGATGAAATTATTTTTGTTATTGTTCGGCGATGATACAGTTTTGTTTTCATATACAAAAAGTTTTTTTTACAATTATTATAAGATAAATTATACATGTATAGTCATGAATAGGGAATCCCTGTGAATTACGGGAAGTCATGGCTGTCTGATATTGTTCTATTTCAATTTATTTAACCTTTTGGATAATATATAAGTTCACTTCGACTATATATGAACTGAAAACACATTGAATTTCTTATTTAACTGGAATCCTTTATATTAATCCACAGTTACACTATATGAAACCATACCGTCAGTGTATGAAACCGAGATAGCAATATATAAGTTGATTTTCTCAATATTATATGTTATTTTGGTTTTGGAGTGATATATTTGGATATATTACCTGTTAAGATTTTATATCACCCGAGCCGTTAGGCGAGGGTGATATTTTATCTTGGCACATATTTTATCCACATATATCACTCCAAAACCAAAATAATAATTTTATTACCCTTCCCCTGCCGAGTTTAGACGATTTTTTACAAAAACCTTGCTGTTTCAAATGAAACGTCGAAATAAGATTCCCTTTAGGGTACCTCTTCGTCACAACATGACACATGACGTATTTTTCCCGTACCTAACGAATGTAAACAAGAGAAAAGGAGTAGTCTATTGAACGCACTTTTTTGTAATTAATATCAAGCTTTCAGAAGGTCATATTTGTTTTCGATACTGATGGTAATATGTATCATTACTCTACTTTGGTAAATATTTATCATTTGACAGTTAAAAAGTGCTTTTAAATCAGAATTTACACCGCGTAAAATCGAACTGTACGCGCATCACCTCAGCGCATGTTGTTTACAACGTTGGGTACCCAACGGGGAAATTTAGTGTGTATATTACCCGTCTGGCTCGGTTATATCAATTTCTTTCGGGCGATCAATGTCCAATCAAAAAGGCGGAAAAAATCTGGAAGGGTAATAATATATGTTATTTTGGTTTTGGAGTGATATATGTGGATATATTACCTGTTAAAGTAGCAGTATATAAGTTGATATTACATTCTATGATAGCAATTTTCATTATATGGAACCAAAATAGCATATTAAGTCAGAAACAAGTCAAAGGCCAATGTAACTGGGTTCTGTAATTACAATGCATTGACTTTTGTGAGTAGATTAATCTTTATGTGTCCTACTGGCCATGCTCATTTTTTATCAAAGGTAAAGGTCGAGATGAACTTATTTTTATTTGTTTGGGTCGTCAGACCAAACAAATAATGGTAGCGAAATTTCAGAGCATAATAATGTTAATTGCAAATGCCTAAAGTAGTCCACTTTTTTGAAGCGGTTACTTCCCTTTATATGTACACTAACGCCGAAAAATTCAGGGGAGATCAATGCGTAAAGATTGTCAAATGACAGGCGCATTTATTTTCAAGGAAAGTAGTTTCCGAATGGTCGAAAATTTCGTATATTGTTTCATTCTTTATAGATATACATGCTTACAGTAAGCTCCATGATTTACATCCGTGTTAAACAAACCCTAATTTAGAATAATACGGTTTTCTTCAGGCCGTTAACATAAGAGGTTTGCACGCTCGCTTATGAATCGAGAGGTCTGGAGTTCAAATCCCAATGAGGCAACTTTTTTTCTAATTTTTTAAGTCAAATAAACATTGAATTGCCTATCAGTGTTGCAATTAGTCTTATAGCCAATTTACTACAGTTGAAACACTAGAAAGCATTGGTGGCACTATACAAAAACAAATTGGTTTATAATCTCACAACCTTCACCTTTCTGACATTCTGAGACCCTAACAAATTAAGCGCCTTCTGTGCTTTGATTTAAATATGTTTTTGTTAATGGTCGGTAAGACTCAGTAGCTTAAATTTTGACTTTGAAACTTTACATACATACATAACGATAAGTTTTGCATGCCCAGCCCATTTTAAGGCCAAAGTGAATGTGGCGTTAAATTTAAATATTTCCTTATTTAGAAAATCTGCCGTATGCCATCAGTAAAGCTTTTAAAGTCTTTTCACAGTTCTACAAGAAATATTGGCGCGAAACTGTACTACCGGTGCAAGGATAGAATACAGCCTTTAAAAAAAAGTCCCGTCAATATATTGACAATTGGTTCCATATATTGGAAAAGTGGATTTATATACTAGAAACCTTTATTAATATATTGAGGAATTGGTGTCATATGATGTAAAAATCAACATATAAATGGATCAAATGGTTTCATATATTGTAAAAACGATTAAATAAATTGATATTTTAGTTTTATATAAGGACATCTGGTTCCATATATTGCTACTTTGGTATCATATATTGAAGAACTGGTATCATATAATGTGATAATCAACTTATATATTGCTACTTAGGTTACATACATTGATAAACTGGTTATATATATTGTAAAAATGAATTAATATAATAATAAATCGGTTTCATATAAGGACATCTAGTTCCATATATTGCTACTTTGGTACCATATATTGAAGAACTGGTACCACATCAGGGCCGGGTCAACTTATAAATTAATATTTTGGATCAATACATCGATGAAATGGTTTCATATATTGTAAAATTGAATTAATATATTGATAATTCGGTTTCATATAAGGGCATCTGGTTCCATACATGACTTACTTGGATCCATATATTGAAGATCTGGTATCATATAATGTGATAATCAACTTATATATTGATACTTTGGTTCAACACATTGATAAAATGGAATCATATATTGTAAAAATGAATTAATATATTGATATTTCGGTTTCATATAAGGACACCTGGTTCCATACATGGCTACTTTGGTTCCATATAGTGAAAAATTGCTATCATATAACGTGATAATCAACTGATATATTGCTACTCTGGTTCCATACATTGATTAAATGGTTTCATATATTGTAAAAATGAATTAATATATTGATAATTCGGTTTCATATAAGGATATCTGGTTCCATACATGGCTACTTTGGTACAATATATTGAAGAATTGGTATCATATATTTATAAAATCAACTTATATATAGCTACCTTGGTTTCATACACTGACGGCATGGTTTCATATATTGTAACTGTGGATTGATATAATGGATTCCGGTTAAAAAGAAGGTGTTTTTAAAATCATATATAGTCGAAGTGAACTTATATATTATCCAAATGGTTTAATAAATTGAAAAAGAACAATATCAGACAGCAATGGCTTTCCATAGTTAATCCTGACAAATCAGTGGTTATGATATGTAAAAATGGGTATTAGACAAGAAAATGATGTATTTATGTTTAATGACCAAATTTTGAAATGTGTTATCTAGGTGTATCTGTTTCGTCAAACGGTAGCTTGTTTCAAGCATAAAAAATCTTTGTCAGAACAAGCCTTAAATGCCCTTCACTCACTTAATTCGCTTTTTGAAAACGTGTCTCTAGAAATATCGGAAAAGTTAACATTATTTGACTACATGATTACGCCTGATTTATGGGGTTTGCATAATGCACCAGACACAGAACATGTTCATGTAAAGTTTTTGAAGCAACTTCTGGGTGTTAGAAAGTAAACATCAAATGCTGCTGTATATGGTGAATTTGGAAGGGCACCTTACGTGTTATAAAATACTGGTATAGAATAGTTAAACACTCTTATGTATAAATTGTTAATGATTAAAGATAGATATAATCAATATGTTAATAAATGGTCGACTGATGTTAAAATTTGCTTCAAATTTAGGCTTTGCTAATATTTTTGATAATCCAAATGCGATTGATTAAAATCCATCATTCAACGTATATAATGATCAACATAATCAACAACGTTTTTTTTAAATTAGTTATTCATCAAAATTAGAGACGTATACAATAATAAAAGATAGTTTTGATTTTGAAAAATACTTTTCTTTAGTAAAAAAAATCAAAGTTTAGAATACTTTTGTCACAGTTAAGATGCTCAGCACATAGACTTATTATTGAAGAAGATTAGATTTAGGAATATTGACAGAGATAAAATGTAACATGAATGAATTTGAAACAGAATATATTTTTTTTACTGGTTTGTCTATTTTATAGGGAATTAAGGAAAGAACATTTACCAAAATATTATTGCTCTTGGCCTACTTTAAATAAATTTATTTTTCAATGAACAATTCTTGGCATGGAATTGTTAACATATTATCAAAAAGTATATCTACTTCGCAAATGTAAAACGTGATAGAACGAATAAGTGAAGTTGTCAGCCTGGCAGCCTAGCAGCCTGAAGTTGGCAGCCTGGCAGCCTAGCGGCCCGAATTTTGCAGCCTAGTTTTTTTCAAAAATGTCTTATTACTGACGTAAGAAGACAGTTTGCTAGGGTAAATAACAAATTGTCAATGGCGAAGCCGAGGTTAAATTGTTGTTTGTCCTAGCGAACTGTCTTCTTTACGACTGTAAGAAGACACTTTTGAGAAAACCGTCTCTGAACATGTTCTGCGTCAACGTTATATGGATAACGTTTTGGACACCAAATTTGGTAAGTTTCTTACCTTAACGCAATGTCCAGCATTATATTGCCGATGATTTTTTTGTGGGTGGGGGCCGGGACAGTAATCACTTTTTAATGTTGTTTTATTTATAGAATGTCAAACGATATACAAACTAGAAATGTGTCCATAGGATACGGGTGCCCCCACCGCGCCACTGTTCTGTCAATTTTATGACTCTAGGTCAAATAGTTTTTGAAAACTAAAAATCTTTTAGTAAGTCAAGGGAAATAACTCTACAAATACTGGATAAATCCACAAGCGAAACCCCAGGTGCAAAACTTAATATGCTGAGCAACTTTCCGGTAAGGTTTAATGACTCTATGTCAAATCCTTTTTCACTACATGCGACACAAGTTGAAAATTGCAAAATTTTACTAAGTCAAGGGCAATAACTCTAAAAATACTAAAAATATCCAGACGAAAATACCCAGGTGCACATCAACACATGCTGATCAACATTCCTGTAAAGTTTCCTGACCCTATGTCAAATACTTTTTGAGTTACATGCGACACAAGTTAGAAATTGCAAAATTTTACTAAGTCAAGGGCAATAACTCTAAAAATACTAAAAATATCAAGACAAAAATACCCAGATGCACAACTACACATGCTGATCAACATTCCTGTAAAGTTTCATAATTCTAGGTCAAACACTTTTTGAGTTACATGCGACACAAGTTGAAAATTGCAAATTTTTACTAAGTCAAGGGCAATTACTCTAAAAATACTAAATATATCCACACGAAAATACCCAGGTACACAACTACACATGCTGATCAACATTCCTGTAAAATTTCATGACTCTAGGTCAAATACTTTTTGAGTTACATGCGACACAAGTTGAAAATTGCAAATTTTTACTAAGTCAAGGGCAATTACTCTAAAAATACTACATAAATCCACACGAAAATACCCAGGTGCACATCTACACATGCTGATCAACATTCCTGTAAAATTTCATGACTCTAGGTCAAATAATTTTTGAGTTACGTGCGACACAAAAGTGAACGGACGGACGGACGGACGGACGGACAAGGGTAAATCTAAATGCCCACCACTAAAGTGGGGGCACAAAAAAGTTTTAGCATCATCCAACGAAAAACCGTGAGTTTCGTCAATGCTAAAATCAACAGTAATTATGTTCTTTAAATGACCATCCAATTTATTTGATTATTCATCGCGTGGATTTTTCTGTACGAAATCTGCTGTGGTCATAGTATTATTTTTACTCTTACATTTGGTTTGCTATTGCTGATCATGGTCATGCAACTACATAGTTAGGTAAAGAAGCAGACGCTTGTTTTGGTTGGGTCTATAATGTTTTGTTTAGGGGGTGAGTTGTCATACACAAATTTACAATTTATATGCATTTATTTTTTTCCAATGAGTGTTATTAACGCAATAAATAAGAAAATTCTATGTCCCCTTTATGCCACCGTAGATACTACATTGTTTTTGTTAAGAATATTTCTAGTGCCATAAATCATTTATAAATCTTTAAGCATTGAAAATAAAGGTATCACAATTAATAACGATAAGAATAGACTTGCTGCATATGTGTTTAGGTTCTAGATACTGCACTTGTAGAAATTGTCATTGTGACATGCAGAAAAGGGATATTCTTTAATTTAATATATGACTCCTATGCAGAGGCAGGAAGTTTTTGACTGACCGGAAGTGACCTAAAATGGTATTATAAATACAGAAAACACAGAACAATGGCTGGTAGCCGGTATACAGATGGGCATAATTATTACCTTTTCAGAATTTTATGGATAAATGTGAGACAAATGTGCTTCGAGTGTCCTTTCTATTGTGTGTCGAACACATCTGTCTCATTTCCAATTTGTCGCAAATATGAATGTTACGAACACATCGGCAAATGTGCTCCGAGACAAATGTGCTCCTACATAGCGCACCAACAATTGGCTATAGTATTTGATATACATGTAATTTAAAAAAAAATGTGTAAAGTTTTACTATCTGGTTTAGCCAGAAAACAGGATCAATTTTGTTTGTGAGTCCAAGTGGGAACATTGTTCACGTGTTAGACACAAGACCATCTCATACTAATATTGGAAAAAAATATGACTTATGCTTTCAAAAGAAACTACTAACATGTAAGTCTGATTTACAGATGAACCGTCCGCCCAAACATAATTCCCTTCGTTTTGTTGATCATTCAGACCAGTCCAGTAAGCAAGATTATTTGCAGGGTCAATCAGTTGTTGTTCTAACCAAGTCTGTAAAAAAATAATACATATTGTAATGTTTTATTCAGTAAGGTAAAGAATCGGTTATATTCTTCATTCTTTTATTACATATACACAAGAACATCGAATTCAACATTACGAATGTCACGCTATATTACAATAACATATACATTATATATTAAATAGAACCGCCTCTCAAGGTAAAAATTAAATAGTTTATAAAATTAATTGCCTCATTCTAAACATTATGAATAGGAAATAAAACAAATTTCAATTGTCCAAGTAATTCTCTTTATACATCAAAGGCTTATCTTGGAGCCGATAACAAACGTGATCTTTCACCAAAAATAAACGGTACTTACTTTTTTGTCAAAAGTGTCCACTTTCATAAGATCAGCTCCCATTGATTGGCAGTAACTCCTACCTCCGGCCCAAGTATTCCTCATTTTTCCTGCCATGAAGCTGTAACAAAACTTGCCAGCTCGAATCCAGGAACCACATCCCATGTTATCCGTAGGTGCGGCTACAGTGTATAGAATTTATCGTGACATTAATCTAGAGAGATTTTATCAATCCAATGGCGGATGTTAATGCAAGAACAATTTGCAAAGGTGAAATCTTAAATTAATTTTAGATTTAATCAAATGAAATAATGCATGATATGTTTGCTAAACTAACATAATACTGAATTATTCAGTATATGAAAAAGAATGACATTTTAGGAAGTGTTTTGTTGGAAGTCTTTCGAGCAAACAACAGTTCGCGTGATTTTTGCCAAACTTGTCAAATTTCACGTTTTCTTCTCCGTGAATGTAAACCTTCGTGCACAGTTTTTATATAATTAACAGGTATTAATACAAAATATGGTGGTGTTGGTAGTTTTCACTCCTGATCACGGCAGTAAGCCACAATAAATTTACAATTTCACAGTCATTTCTGGGCAGACTGTCAGCAGTTTACCTCACTTACGCAAGAAACTGAAACTTCTGTACATACTAGAGCAGAGGTACAGTGCGAATGACCGTAGAAACTACATGTATTTCATGATAAATCACAATGAAAGTGACCTGTGCTGTTCTGGAACCCGGGTCGTCCGATTTTAAGTCCAACGCTCTACCTATTGAGCTATCCGGACGGCTTAAGACAAAGTCAAATAGTTTAAACATTTATGTAGCCCGAGTTATAGTAGTAGCCAACACAGCCAAATAGTTTGTGTAAATTTTAAAAGCAACTTTATTATTCAGCCTACTTTGTCCTCTGTGTCTCGCTGATATAGTTCTCTTAGATTTTACTACTGTATGAATAAAACCCATAGGTTTAAATGCTGTAAAAGCTAGAGTTCTAGCATTTATAGAGTTCTATCATTTATACCTATCTTAATTGGCTTTGAGTAGATGCGTAATTTCATTTTAAAGCAGCACAAATAATAATCAAAGTGCTGAAAGCACTGGGTGCGTCGGACATGAAAAGGGAATTGCATAAATGCTGTCAAAAAAGGTTTTTTTTTATTATTTACAAAGGGCAGCAAAATTCATTCTATGCCTGAGTTTTATGGAGCTTGGATAGAAACTTCCAATTATGACTAAAGACATATAAAGGTTTTATATGAATATCTTCTGTTTTCTTTTGAAAACTGATGTTATATGTTTAAATGAATACCACAAGTATATATTTGTTGTCCTAAAAATTGATTTGTTGCAAAGTTTTAAATTAAGATTTTTCTAACCTAAAAAAAAGACTATTACTCTGTTAAAATGATTGTTAGATTTATGGGGTTCAGAGAGTAACCTCCATTTATAATCCTGAAAACATATACAATAAAATAGAAAGAAATAAGCAAGATTAATTTGGTTCAAAATTGTCAATTTGTTCTGTCAAAAAACTATGCTAGAGTTATTGGCTTTGCAAATTTTATTACGGACGATCTCAAAAATATTTGTGAAGTTACAAGTAAATATTTTAATTGTTTATGAAGTTCTATGCTTTATAAGCTGAACGTTGCCCCAAAATCTGTAACCAAAGTGGTATGCCAACGCGGACACTCATGACACCAAGATGAGAAGGATAGCAGGACAGTTGAGCTAATGTTTCCATCAGGCTCCAGTCTTTTTTCATATACAAGTGACATGAGACCTTGCAATATTTTAAATTTTATTTGTTCCGTGTTTGGTAACACAGAAAATTAATATGGAAGTAATATTTTCCTCAAGAGTCAGGACATTTATAACAGTGCACACATATTATGCAGAGTATGAAATAGGTCAAGATTTGTGAAGGAAGAGAAAATCATTCGAATAGACTTACTCTGTTATGTTATTACAGGGTCGGGCCATAAGAAATCGTGGGGGGGGGGGTATGTTTGAAATGACCAAACTCCCCTTTTTGATGAGGGAGGGTCTGGCGGTTCTCCCAGGGAAAAAATGAAATTCATATGTTACCTTATGGCTGTTGGTGCATCTATTTGCACATTTTGAAACAGAAGTGTCTACATATTTTTCACAAAAATGTAATTTCTGCAAAAATGGAAGAAAATCTTAATCTACATGTATGGGAAAGCTTTGATTTTTAATGAATTTTCCAGAGGGTAAGATATGCTTTACATTAACCCTAAAAAGCGTCCTTTAAGTTAAAATAATTTAAATCTACATCACTTTCGCTTCAGTATTGAAAAAATTGCTGAATATATATACGAAAAAATCATCATCACATTCAATATTCAATAGGGGGCTATTTATACTTCAAAAGTAAATGTATTTAGATGTACTACGAATAAGTTGCTTTCATTCAGTATTATCTAGGCGCCTAAACTGCATCTGCACCGACCAAGAGAACTAATTAGTGTCTGCATGTATGTATTTAGTCTAAGCCATAGTATTTAGTCTCGACCAATTGTAAAAGGACTGAAAGAATTTTATGACAGGAAACTCAGCTGGAGTCCAGGTTCAAATAAACAAGGACTTAGATTTATATCATATTTTACTCTCAATGCGCTTTGTTTTTTTTTTATAGGAAAACAATTCAGGCCAGGGTGTCTGGGAAGGGGGCTTCAGCCCTTCAGCTCCCTGCCGTATATCCCCTGTAATTATCACATAAGTCTATTTAATATGGAAAAATATAAATAAATGGTCAATTCAATTTTAATTTTCCATAAAAATGTTCAATTTGAGAACAAAATCATTCACGTTTCATTCCAGTCCATAGTTTAGTGTATGCTTTGATAAGTCTACAACATATTTTGTTTCATGCATATTTTATTACATTGCACGGTTTTCACGTGTTTTGTACCAGTGAATATGTATAAATTCGGTGTTTTACTATTGTTTGTCACTCGAGGCAGTATTTGACAGCTTTTAACACGTTCTTTAGAGTTATAGTTATTGAGAATACTATGTCGCGGGAAAATTCGCCAGCACGTGCAAGTTTTTCAACAGTTCTAAGGGAAGAAGTTGTCTCCGAATTGAAGGGTTATTTGATGACAAATTTAGTTCGCTTCAACGTGATTTGAAACGTGATGCTGAGTGGACTGTTTCTTCAGCGACAAAGAAGGTAAAAAAAGGATTCTTTAATTTCAAGCATTCAAGTCTTATCAGAATAGGAAACAGTTCGAGTTCAATAACACTGTTTTAGACTTACTTGACAATATTGATAAAGCAGTTTCCTACAGAGAGGCGTCTAAAGCTAAGGATTTCTTGCTGAAGCTAAGGATGCTGTAACTCACAGAAATAAGTTGATACGTATTGCTGACGGTTCAGATCTTTGGTGGTCTACCATAAATGAGTACGAGTTACTGGAAGTAGCGTCTGATTCAGATGATGATAAAATAATTCGTCGTGCTGAAGAGCGCATTAAAAAGAAGGCTGATAAAAATGCCTATTTTAATGATAATCGTTTTGCTAGTTCTTTTTGAACCAAGAGAATTTCCAGAGCCGCAGAAGGACGTCGTTTTGGTCACGGAGACGTGGAAGGACGAGGACGACGTTACGTTCAGGCAGACTTGGAAGGACGATGCTCCTCTTTTGGTTACCTGGAAGAACGACGATTCGTTCCGGGAGAAGTCATTTGTTTCAAGTGTGGCCAAGAAGGGCATTATGCCAATTTCTGTTCCTCACACCAAAGAGCTTTCATGGTGCAGCAATCCAGCAACAAAACAGCTTCAGCAGCAGCAACAAATTATGCCACGCAACTCCTCGCACCAGAAGGCAACAAACAAGAATGATTTGTGTGTAAGACTATCGAAATATGATAAGTTTTTATTTTTTTAACAATTTTGTCAGTTAGATGAAAGTACTGTTTTTTTGTGAATACAAAGAATCACAAGTTGCTGTACAAACAAACTCTGTTAAAGGTAGATTAAAAAGATGTATTTCGTTTTGGAAGAACTCTATTCGACCTTCTAACAATGAAATAATTTCTTTTATAGAACAAGGTTATGTTATTCCCTTTGTTGACAAACCTCCATCTTTTTATTTAAAGAATAACAAATCGGCTTTAAAGAACAAAGAATTTGTAGATTCAGCCATACAGGATTTGTTAGATAAAAATTGTGTGTATGAAACATTTTTTAAGCCATATAACATTAATCCATTATCTGTTGCCGATAATTCGTCTGGCAAGAAACGTCTCATTTTAGATTTAAGTGTCTTAAACAAATATGTAAGAGAAGACCACGTTAAATTCGAAGATTACAGGGTAGCTAAAGAATTTTTGTTAATTGAAAATGGATTTATGTTTAAATTTGATTTATCTGCCGCCTCCGTGGTCGAGGGGTTAGAGTCGATGACTTCTAATCCAGTTACCTCTCTGGCGTGGGTTCGATCCCCGGGAGATGCTTTGGTAGTTTAGCGCGGAGGAAGGTAGTCTAGTACTGGTGTAACTCTCCAGGAGCGATGGATAGGAAACTACCCGCCTATATGACTGAAATACTGTTGGAAAAAGGCGTAAAATGAAACAAACAAACAAAAAACAAAATTTGATTTATCTAGTGGTTATCACCATTTATCTGTTAATCCTTTACACCACTCGTATTTAGGTTTTTCATGGTACCTTAATGGTAGGTTACGTTATTTTGTCTTCAACGTTTTACCATTTTTACTAAGCTGCTTAGACCATTAGTTACGTTTTGGCGAAGTCAAGGATTACGAATTGTTGTTTTCCTTGATGATGGCTGGGGTATTAATAAAGATTTCTTAACTACTTCCAGTGATGCAGAGTTTGTTAAGCAAACGTTAGTGAAGCAGGTTTTGTTATTAATTTGCAGAAATCCATTTTTAAACAAGTACAGATGTTAGAGTGGCTAGGTTATTTGTGGAATTTGAAGGAATGTTATCTCAAAATTCCAGATAGAAGTATTTCTAACACTAGAGTTTGTTTGGAAAATTTATTTAAATCTTTGTCGTCATCGTCTGCTAGAAAATTAGCACAGTTGGCCGGGAAAATAATTTCCATGGCTCCAGTACTGGTTAAAGACTAAAGTATTTTTTGTATGTATTGAATCCAGGTGTGCTTGGGACTCAAAGGTCAATC